GTTTGTCCTAGATCAGCTATGAGCTGATTTTCCTTTTAAAGAAAGGGGGGGGGAGCCCTAATCTCTGATAAACAGAGAGGGGGATGGGCTCAAAAACCCTGAGCTCATCCCTGGAAAATGTTCTCTGTGGCTGATTCCACTCAGTAATGAGTGGAAAGGGTGTCATCACAAGGGGAGTCTAGAGACCTGGGGTTAGGTCCCGATTCCACCACTAACCTGCTGTATTGCCCATGGGCAATTGTTTCATACCCCTCGTGGGTCCTAGTTTCCTCATCTGTAAAATGGAAATGATAGTACTTGGGATCATGAGATTTTAGAGCTGAGAAGGACCTTAGAAATAATCTGGTCCAATTTCCTCTCTTTACATGTCTGTACTTTTCCAAGGTTACCCCAGTAGCTGGTGGTCATGATGAGACTAGAACCAACGTCTACTGGCTCTCACCAATTTATCTCTCTTTCTTCTGCCTCAGTTCCCTTCCTCCCAGGGTTTTTATGAAGAGTAAATGAGATAATGCATCTAAAGTTCATTATTACCATAAAGTGGGAGCCATTAGCATTTTTATTTGCAGGTGGAATAATGATGAAATGTTTAACACTCTCTGCAAGGTTCTTGGAGTAGATGGAGGTATCTGCCTTGAGCTCTTGTTCCCACCATAAAGCTGCCTTTCAGATCTCTGGTGCCTTGACCTGGGACCTGAAAGGGTCTAAGAGGGAAGTGGGGGAGATGTATGGAAGGCAACTATTGTCAGATGTCTCATCTATACTCTTCCAGCCTTAGGGAGAATTAGAAACTAATGGAAAATATAAATTGGGGGAACAGATACATTAGCAGCACATTCATTTCTAGATGCAAATAAATCCTAGAACCTTAGAGCTAGGAGACTGAATTTCCTCAAGGTAGATTATTCAGTCTTTTTCTTTTTTTTTTTTTTTTTAGCTCTTCACAATCCATTTGGGGTTATCTTGGCAAAGATACTGAAGTGTTTGCCATTTCCTTCTCAGCTCATTTTACAGATAAGGAAACTGAGGCAAACAAGGTGAAGTGACTTGTCCAAAGTCACACAGCTAGTAAGTGAGGCCAGATTTAAAGTCAGGAAGATGAGTCTTCCTGACTCCAAGCCTAGTACTCCATCCACTGTACCACCTAGCTGCCCCAAGGGGCAGCTTGGATTTCCCAAATGCTAGCAATGAGCTCCCAGTCACTGGAAGGATTCACGTGGAGACAAGATGATCACGTGTTCTCGGGCACCAAGCCAGGAGGCATCCCCACAGCTGTTTAAATATAGGGACTTTGGTCTGCAGGATTGCTATCTAGGAGCTATGCTGAACACTCATTACCCAGGAAATTCAGCCTGCTTTTCAAGGCTAGTTTCATAACGAATACCGAGGATGCCTAATAAACGTTTCTGAGAAACAAGAACCAAATGCAGGAAATGGGGTTCATGGGAGACACTAGTGGACAAAGAAAGGAGTGCTGGGTTTGGAACCTGGGGCCCTGAGTTCCAATCTTGCCTCTGCTACCTCCTACCTTGTATGACCTTGGGTAATCTCTCTGAGCCTCAGTTTCCTCCTCTGAAAACCAGAGACTGAACCAGATGACATCTAAAGTCCCTCTCAATCTCTGGTCCTCTCTCCTCTTTTGTTTCCAGTCTGAGAGGATCATGTCATCCTTCTTGCTAACAGCAAACCACCCCCCCCCCACAACCATCTCAGCCAAGAGCTTGTCCTGGGCCCTGGTAAGGATCATCCTCTCTCTCCTTAACTTGTGATTTCTTTATCGGCTGCTTCTTTCCCTACAACCTACAAACACACCCACATCTACTTCATCCTTCAAAAAAAAAATTTTCACTTGATGCTCTCATCTCCTCAAGCTAAACACCCTGTAGCCCTTCTCCCTTTCACAACTCAACTTCTAGAAAAAGCGGCCTCTGCTTTCGAGCCTCCCACTCACTTTTCAGCCTCTTATAATCAGACCTCATGTCTCAATTGAAACTGCTTTCTCCAAGGTTATGAAAACCCTCATCATCACCAGATCCAGCGGCCTTTTCTCAGGCCTCCTTCTCCTTGACCTTTCTTCAGCCTTTCACACATGTAGATCATCCTCTTCTCCTCGGACCTCTCTTCTCTCTAGGGTTTTGGGACCCTGCTTTCTAAGGGTTCTTTTCCAACTGCACCTTCTCAGGCTCCTTTATTGGATTATCATCTGTGACCCAAATCCTATGAGGAAGTCAAAGGTCTTCAAAGTTTTTGGTCTCAGGACTCCTTTTTATTTTTATTTTATGTTTTATTTTTTGCAATCAGAGTTAAGTGACTTGCCCAGGGTCACACAGCTAATAAGTGTCTGAGGCTGGATTTGAAGTCAGATCCTCCTGACTCCAGAGTCTGTGCTCTATCTACTGTGCCACCTAGCTGACCCCTCCTTTAGCCTCTTAAAAATTACTGAGGATCCTCCAAAGAGTTTTTGTTTATGTGGGCTATGTTTATTGATATTCATCATATACAAAATTAAAATGTCTTAGTATTATTATGAAAACAGTTTTGACCTCAAGACTGCCTTGAGAGACTACCTCAGAGACCATCAGGGGTTTACAGACCTCATTGAAAACCTATGGTAGGGATTAGGTAGGTGGTACAGTGGATTGAGCACCAGCCCTAGAGTCAGGAAGATCTGAGTTCAAATCCAGTTTCAGATACTTCCTAGCTATGTGACTTTGGGCTAGTCACTTAACTCCAATTGCCCCCTCCCCACCTCCAAAAAAAGAAAAAGAAAACCTATAGTGTAGGTACATCCTAGGATTTTGCCTAGGCCTTTTTCTCTCTCTCAGTAATCTCATTAGCTCCCATGAGTCCAACTGCCATGCCATGTAGATGACTCCCAGTTCTACATATCCAACCAGAGTCTCTATCCTGAGACCATCCCATGGGCATGTCTCAACCTCAACATGTCCCAAACAGAATCCCTTCTCTTTCCCTCCAAAATCTGTCCTCTTTCTAACTTCTCTGTTTTTGTTGAGGATACCAGCATCCTTCCAGCAGGCTGACAAGCTAAGAGTCACCTTCAACTCTTTCCTCTCCCTCTCCCATTGCATCCAATCAGTCAGTTACTGGCTCTTATTGATTGGACTTCCACTGACGTTTCCCCCCTCTGCCCCCTTCTGTCCAGTCCCATGGTAACCACCCTAGGTTCAGGCCATCTTCACCTCTCATTGAACTGTTACAACAGCTTCCTAGCTGGTTTGCTTTCTTTTCTAGTCCATTCTCTGTACAAGTCAATGAGGATTTGTTAAACACCCACCATGTGCCAGGCACTGTGGCAAATTGCTATTTCTAAAGAACATATATGTCCCTCCCCTGCTCAAGAAGCTTCTGTGGTTCTCTTCTCCCTTTAGGATAACATACAAATTCCTCTGCTTGAGTGTTGTTTTGTTTTTTGTTTTTTTTGGCCGAGGCAATTAGGGTTAAGTGACTTGCCCAGGGTCACATAGCTAGTAAGTGTCAAGTGTCTGGTCTGAGACTGGATCTGAACTCAGGTCCTCCTGACTCTAGGGCCAGTTCTCTATCCACTGCTCCACCTAGCTGCCCCTCTGCTTGAGTTTTAAAACCCTTCACAATCTTGTTCCAAGCAAATTGGCCTCTTTGCTGTTCTTCATGTATGGCATTCCATCTCCTGTCTCCACACCTTTGCTCAAGTTCTGCCCCATGCCTGGAATGTTCTTCATTATCTTTACCTCATACAGTCCTATCTTCCTTCAAAGTTAGTTTCAAGTGCCAGGTCCTCCAGGAAGCCTATTCAGATCACATGCTACCCTCTCCCATCTTTGTCTTTGCTAGCGCCCTACCCCAGTCCCCAAAAGCAATCAACAAGCATTTATTAAGCACCTACTGTGTGGCGAGCACTGTACTAGGCACTGGGGATACAAAGTCAAAAATGAAAGACGATACATGCATATATAATCGTATGTGTAAAATGGATACAAGGTGATTTTGGCCAGAAGGGTACTAGCAGATAGGAGGAGCAGGAAAGGCTTCCTCTAAAAAGTGACCTTTATCTGAGTCTTAAGAGAAACTAGGGATTCCAAGAGGCAATGGGGAGGGGAAGATTGTGCTCCAGGAATGGGGTAATGGCCAATGCAAGAGCAAGACTCCCCCCAGCAGAATGGGTAGACGGGGACAAAATTTGTTCCAATGGCCATGAAGGCAGCTAAAGCAGGCACTAAAGTGCTTAGAGCCTGGTCAGACAGAGAAGATGTCAAGGTCATCCACTGCCTTCCGGACCACTGCTGGTTGTCTTGACTTCTGTCTTTCCACTGAACTTGGATGATTCTGGAAGACAGAGTGAGGCTGATGACTTTGCACAACTCTGCTTCACTTAAATCCGATTCAAGCCTCAAGTCAAGACATCACCCTGTGATGTCATTGGTCCTTGAAAACAAAGGACAAACAACAGCCCGGAGATGGGAAATTGAGTGCCATAATCAGTCAGGTTGACTCTAGCCCAGTGTACAGGAAGGGGAGTAATATTTTATAAGGCTAGAGAGGTGGGTTGGGCCCAAGTTGTAAATGACTTTAATTGCTACAGAGAAAACTTTGTATTTGTGGCAAAAGGCTGTCCCCCAACATGTAGCATAGGGCTATTGTGTGGCTCAAAGGTAGGCGGAGAGATACCTCTAGCCTCTATTCCCCACACCCTTCTCCAAGGTGTGGAGCACTGGGTTTCACTTCAGCCAAGAGGGAAAACAGGAGGTGGAGGCCAGAAGCTAGGTCACTCTGTGTTCCTCAGAGAGAGAGGGTACTAGGCAAGAATTATTTCCATATGTTCCCTGAAATATTATTATTCTAAGGGATGAGTTTTTCAGGTTCAAGCTAAACTTCTAATTACTGTTCATTAACTGGGGAAAAGGATGACCCAAGCTTCATTCCCAAGGCTTGACCCCATTCCCAAATACCAGTTCCATGATGAACACACATAGAAGTAACAAAGAAATCCATTTATCCAAATCAACAGCAAAACATAAATCAAAAAAAGTATACATAGGAGAATATGTACCAAACAATACAGAGTGAAGGAGGTCTCCCATTGGGAACAAGGGAACTCAGTTCAACCGAGAGGAGAGAGAGAGTCGTAGAGAGTCCAATGGGAAATTCCCCAGTCTCCATTATAGCAAGCTGGAGACAGGGACATGATGAACACCGCCAGATCTTCTCATGTAGGCTTCTTTCCAGAGTCTTCTTCTCCCTTTGGCAAACTGAAGTGGAATTGGCATCATCCATCTTCTCTCTCGAAGCTAAAAGCCAGAAACACCCAAAATGACAACAGTCCCAAAGAACTGAAGAGACTCCAAGAAGGTCAAGAGATGACCCAAAGAAAGTCCAATGAAAGTAAGACTCTCCTCTGTCTTCACCCCACAACTCTTCTGCATCCTCCTCTATTCCAGCAGCCATTAAAATGGAGTCAAGTGGTAAGTCCTCCCCAAACATAGGATCATTCATTCAATAAGCATTTATTAAGTGGGTGGCTTCTTTGTGCTAGGTAGTGGGTTTCTAGATAACCCCACCCCCCATTATGCAAGTGCAGGGCATTGATTTCTACCAGCGAGGAGAGAATCCCATACCAATGGACTTTGAGACTCAGATTATACATTAGAACCTGGAGGTAGTAGACTGCCACTGCAGCATATGAGTAGGGGAGAGACAGGGTCAGACCTGTGCTTTGGAATAAATCAATTTGGGATGACCCACAGCTGAGTGGATGATGGAGCAGAGAAAGAAGAGTCTTGTGGCAGGGAGATCAGAAATTATTTTTTTATCCACTTTGTGTAAATTTTGAATTTACTTTTCTATGTACACATACTGTTTCTATGTACATATTGTCTCTAAGGACAAGGATGGTTTGGGTATTTTTCATCTTGGAATTCCCAGCACCTAGGAGAGGGTTTGGCACAAAGAAGCCACCCACTTAACAAACGCTTATTGAATGAATGATTCAGTGTTTAGGGAGGACTCATCACTTGACTCCATTTTAATGGCTGCTGGGGCAGAGGAAGATCCAGAAAAGTTATGGGTTGTAGGAAAACTTAAGTCAAATAGTTTAGGCTAATAAATGAAAACATGTTTATTGTTTGAGAATGTTTCATCTTAGTAGAATTTAGGTTTTGTACTTCTCATCTGCTCCAAAATTCTTGCTGAGAAATTGTTTGCCTAATGGGCTACACTAATTATTGAAGGGGATGGGGAAGGGGTCACAGGAAAAAGTCGATTCCAAATGCTTCTCCAGAGAAATGAAGGCACTGGCCAACTCACTAATTATAATTAAAGAAGGGGAAACTGTAGAAAGGATCATAGAAGCCCATGGGCAGAACTGGAAGGGAGCTAAAAACAAATGGCCTGGCTCCCTGGCCTGGGCATGGTTTCTGGGGGTCCATGGTGGGGAGAAGGTCAACAGCAGGACAGATGGGAGACCTAAAGAGTAGAGATTAAGGCATGAGAGTTAGCTAGGAGACGTCTCCAGTGCAGTGCCTCAGTGATTTGAAGGAAGCATGGACGACATGCTTAATTCAGTCCAATAAGCATCTATTAAACACCTACCACACATATGATAGGCTGGAGTCAGGAAGACCTAAGTTCAAATTCAGCCTCAGATACTTACTAACTGTGTGACCCTGGGCAAGTCACTTAACCCTATTTACCTCAGTTTCCTCACCTATAAAATGGAGGAAGAAATAGCAAACCACTCCAGTATCTTTGCTGAGAAAACCCAAATGGGGTCACGAAGAGTCAGACATGACTGAAACACCAGAAGAGCAACAACAAATACATGAGACAGTGTGCTAGGAAGGGGATATAAAATCATTCATAAAACAGCCCCTGTCCTCAAGAAGCCTACACTCTAGTTCAACATGGAGGATGCTATATGAACAAAAATAAGTATAGACTGTGGGATCAAGGCATAGAAGAACACAAACAGGTGAGGGGATTAGGGAAGAGTTTCTAAGGAAGGTGGCCCCTGAGGGCCCGGCAGAAACAGTCACCACAAGGAACCGGGGACCTTTCCCTCCTTGATCCCAGTATGCCCAACACCAAAATGCCAATGGGTCCCCAAGGGCCCAGTTGGAGACAGCTTTTGGGAACCTTTCCCTTCCCCATCCTCATTACCTAATTTGAACCAGGTGTTAGACATCCTGCCCCGGCTCAGTGCTGATCCCCTCCCATTCCCAACCCTTCTGGAGGTATCCCAGAGACTCATTTCACCCCGATCTTCAGGGCCACCACCCCCTTCCTAAGAATCACCAGTTGGGAGCTCTCTGCCCAGCTGTTATTCGCCGGGGTCCATGGGGCCTTACTAGCTGGCCTGCTGGTTGCCCTCTGGCCCTCTGTGTATTACCGTCTGACCCACGGTCTACTCCCAGATTTCTGTCATCTTTCCTGATGCTGCATCCTAAGTCCTGTCCATTCTACCTACTCTGAAGCTGAACCCTCATTGTCTCCCTTAATTAGAGTGTGAGTTCTTGGAGAACAGGAACGATCTCACTTTTCTATTTGTGTCTCCAGCATTTTGTGCGCAGTAAGCTCTTAATATCTTAATAATATCCTCCTAGCATAAGGCACTGCTTAAACAAATACATAGAGGAGGAAGGTTGGAAGTGAAGTTTGGGGAACAACTTGCAGATGACTGAATGAATGAATGAATATTTAATAAACATTTACTATGTGCTCTTACTGTGCTAAATGTTTAAAAAACACAAATACAAAAGTGAGACAGCCCCTGCCCTCAAGGAGCTTACATTCTACTGAGGGGGGCAGTGATGCATTCAGAGGGGTAGTGACTAGGGAAGGCAATCTTGGTCTGGGGTCTCACAGGGATGGTAAATTGATCCAAAGGGCAGCTAAATGACATGTCTTTCCAGAAGTAAATTGTTGTATTGACTTTGTCCAGGGCAAAGATGAAAAGCAATGGTATAGGGGTATTAATACTGCTGCAAAGACAGTAGATGCCTTGATGAGATGTGAAGTAAAGTTGGGTGCAGGGTTCAGTTAGATATAGTGAGCTAAGAGCATTTGTACTTACTCACTAATCAAAGCAGCTCAGCTTCAACATAGGAATCCCAAATCCAATTGGTTTAATTCTCTCAGAGACTAGGGGCATGGTTTCTGGAGGTCCAGTGTAAGGAGGACATTTTAAGTGAGGAGAAGAAGGTCAGCAGCAGAACAGATGGTAAATGAAACAAAGGTAAGAGAGAATAGCTTTTAAAAAAAAAAAAGATAACACAATCAGGATCCAAAAGACATTGGTAGACTAGACCCCTGAAGCAAATATAATAACAAAACTTAATGGGTATAAATGTAAAGTTTTATTCTTGGGTTCAAAATGTAAATTGCATAAGTATAAGATGGGAGGGAGGGGCATAGCAATTTAAGAGAAAAAAGACCTGGGGGCTTTAGTGTACTACAAGCTTAATTTGACCCAGAAATATAACATATTAGCCTAAAAAACAAGGCTACATTATTCTGGTACATTGAGTATTAGACTTGAAATCAGGAAGACCTTTGTTCAAATCATGCCTCAGGCACACACTAGCTATGTCATCCTGGGCAAATCACTTAAACGCTCTCAGCTTCAGTTTTCTCATCTGCAAAATGAAGATAGTAACAGCATCAACCTGTCAGAGTTGTTGTGAGGATTAGATGAGACAACATCTGTAAAGTGCTTTATAGACCTTAAAGCACCATGTGAATACTGGCTATTATTAACCTAAGGCCATAATGCTCAGGACAAGGGACTATATGGAGTACTGTTGTCAGTTCTAGGTGCTTTGCTTTAAGGAAAGAATTAATATGAGGGAGATTGTGCAGAGGAAAGCGACCAAAATTAGGAAAAGACTTCCATGTCATGGCATGAGTATGAAGTGAATGCATGTGGGATGTTTAACCTGGGGAAGAGAGAACGGGTGAATGCTAGCTGCTTTCAAGTATTTGAAAAGCTATCCCAGAGGCGAGGTATTAGATTTGTTCTGCTTAGCCCCAGAGGGCAGAACCAGGAGCAGCATGGGGAAAGTGCAGAGAGGCAGATCTCAGTTTAATAGAAGGAACAATTCCTAACAACTCAAGCTGTCTAAAAGTGTGATGGGTTGCCTTCTGGAGGTAGCAGGCTCCCCGTCCCTGGGAGGTAGAAAGCATTTGATGCCAGAGTTGGGATCCAAAGAGATGGTGACATGATGGATCAATGAGCCAATCTAATAACATGAAATTTACTAGGTATAAAGGTAAAGTCCTGTACTTAAGTTCAGGATAGCTGAATGACTATTCATCAGGGCTGTTTGATTAGAGGTATCAGCACAGAATATGTTCACTGAGTGGCTTTCTGTTCAGGTCAGGCTTGGACTGGACAGTCTTTAAAGAACCTTCCAACTCATAGCTTCTACAGATCACACAGACCAGGGGTGGGGAACCTGCAGCCTCGAGGCCACACATGGCCCTCTAGCTCCTCAAGTATGGCTCTTTGACTGCATCTATACTTCACAGAACAAATCCCCTTAGGCCGCAGGTTCCCCACCCCTAACCTAGACCAACTCCTTCATTTTATAGGGGCTGAAATTGAGACCCACAGAGAGGAAATGATTCCTCCAAGGTCACACAGCAAGCTAATAGGAGAATCGAGACTAGAACCCAAGCCTCTTAAGCCGCCTTAGAGCAGTGCTCATCACAATGTATCTGCTACTCTGAACAACTGGGCCTAAACAAACTTAAGGGTAAAAAGTATTGCTGTTTCTTGGTCTTAGGTTTGAATAGTCCTAAACTGAGGCTGCCTCTCTTTCTAAGAAGTAGTCTGTGATAACAGTTCCACAAAACAGGAACCAGGCAGGCCAATTGAAGCCACTTGCAGAGAGAAGACCTCTCAACTCTAGGCATCTACTTTGTTGCTAAAGCTGGCCCTCCCCAACTCCCCCCACACCAAACATCCCACTGAGCTGCTGACCCCCGGTTAGTCATCTGGTGGCACTCGATGAGGGGCACTCACTTGGAAAGAGTTTATGTAAAAGTAACCAATGCAAATTGGCAAAAAAGGGAAAAGCGAAAAACCTTCTAGTTCCCCCTTTAGGGCTCCTCCCTTCTCGGCAGCCAATGCAGATGGTTGGCAGAGTTAATAATACCCACCAGAGCAGGGACAGGAAACTCTATTGTAAATAGCTAATTGTAAAATGTTCTTAGTTTCTTATAAACATTTTTCAAGACCTTTTTTTTTTAAGATTATTGAAGGTCAAGAATTGGATTCACCACATCTCAAGCGTGTGGTGTATATTTAATTTTCTTCTTTGTTTTTAAAGGCTATGAATTTAAAATTGAGTTCAGGCACCTTGCCATGTGACTTTAACCAAGTTGTCCACCCTCTTTGTCTCAGTTTCCCCAACTGTAAAATGAATGGGGCTAGCCTAGGTCATCTGTAAGGCCCTTCCCAGCTCTAACATTTTCCATTCTAAAGCCCCTTCTAGCTCTGATATTCTATGTCCTATAGTCTAAGGGCCTCTCCGGTCTTTCATTAATGAAATGGACAAGGTACAGATGACATGCTTATTGGATTTGCAGGTGACACAAATCCAGGAGGGAAAGTTAACATACTGGACAACACATCCAGAATTCAAAAATATCTTGACAAGCTAAAATACTCATTAGATGCAATTTGATGGTTATAAATGTAAAGAGTGAAATGGGTTCAAAAAATCAGTCTCACAAGTACAAGTTGGGGGAGGAGTAGTTAAGAGAACAATTCATCTAAAAAATACCTGTACCTCAAATTTAATAAGAGTTTACAGTGTAGAAGACAAGAAAGCTAATAAGATCTCAGTTGGTATATATCCAAAAAAAAGGAGGTGACATATAGTCTTGTGGTTGGAGTATTTCATTGCAGCTTTGGGTTCCACATTTTATGAAGTCAGTCAATGGACATTTATTAAGCTCCTGTTATGTGCTAGGCACTGTGTAAAACACTGGGGATACAAAGAAAAATGTAAACAGTCCTTGTCCCTAATTAGGTCACAGTCTAATACGGGAGACACCATGTAAACACGCAGGTACAAACTATATAGATAGGACACATTGGAAATAGTCAGCAGAGAGAAAACACTGCAGTTAAGGACAGGAGGTGGGATGGGAAGGGAAAGGCTTCTTGCAAAAGGTGGGAATTTAGTTGGAAGCCAGCGACATTTTTAAGAAAGAAAGCGTCCAGAAGAGGGGAACCGGGATAGCAAAGGGTCTTGACTTCTTGCTATATTAAGATTCACAAAAGGAACTGGGGTTATCTACCCTGAAGAAGACTCAGGGAGGATGTGATAACCATCAAATGTTAGAAAGGCAACGAAAGGCAGATTAAACTCATTCTCTTGTGCCCTAGAGAACAGAAGGAGGAACAACAGGTGTAAGATGAAAATCGTCGTTTAGGCTTGATGCAAGGAAAAACCTTCCAACTGTTAGAATTATCCAGAAGTGGAATGGACTGCTTCCAGAGCTGGTAGGTTCCCCATCACTTGAAGGCCATATTTCAGGTACATTTTTTAGGTAGTTTGGACTTGATTCCAAACTGAGTCACCTTCCAACTCTGAAATTCTATGATTCTGCCTTCTTTGTCCTAGAGTCTTCTCGAGCCCAGACATTTCATGTGCTACGTCCTACAGTCCTTTCCAGCCCCCAAATTCTGGGTTCCAGAGTTATTTCTGTCCCAATACTCAAGGCTTCTTGCCTTGGTAAATGAGAAATTTTCAATCACAAAAATGGAAGATGTGTCAGTTTTGAAGACATTGATTATCCCCAATTTATCCTGCACATAGCTCGTTTGTACGTGCTTATTTGCATATAGGCCCTTAGCAAATGCTTGTTGACCTCCTGACAAACATCCTGACTTATTCAGATGGGAATCACCCATCTCTGCTATGACTCAAGACCAAAAACTTGTTTCTGTCTAGAGAACTATGAAAGCACAATTAGCAAATTCATCAATTAGGATTTTGGTTATATTCTTACTATGAAGAAGAGAAAGGAGACAGCTAGGTAGTACAGGCGGATAGAGCACTGGCCCTGAAATCAGGAGGACCTGAGTTCAAATCCAGCCTGAGACCAAACACTTGACACTTACTAGCTGTGTGACCCTGGGCAAGTCACTTTACTTCAATTGTCTAAAAAAAAAAAGAAGAGAAAGGCTGCATGACATGGAGGATAGAAGATTGCCGGTCTTGGAGTCAAGAAGAAGACCTAGATTTTAATCCTGTGTTCAACATATTCTGGGCTTGTCCATGAGCAAGTCACATAACACCCCTGGGGCTCAGTTTCCTATCTATAAAAGGGGGATAATCATTTTTGTAGTTAACTACAAGTTGTGGTCAGCTTCAAATGAGATAATGGATGTAAAGTGCTTCACAAACTTTAAAACGCTATAGAAATATATTATCATTATATTGGGAATTGAGGGACAGGGTAGCATAGTAGAGAGAAAGTGTGCCTGGAAAAAAAATGAGTTCAAGTCCTACAAATTGGCTGGGCAATTCTAGGAGAATTATTTAACTTTTCAACATTCTAAACAACTCTCCAAGACTGTGTTGAAGAGAAGGTGCTGACCTGCACTGGGAGGAGTTTCCTCATTAAGGAATTCCTCATGCCAGTGGAATCACAGGCCAGTCCTTATCCCCCTATCACTAGAAATAATATCGGGTTAGAAAGTTTAAGGCTTTGATTAAAGATGTCAGCACAGGAATATGTGGACTGAGTCTAGATCTCTAGGTGGTACCGTGGATGGAGCTCTGGGCCTTGAGTCTCTTTCTGAGTTCAAATTCAGCCTCAGACCCTTGCTAGCTGTGTGACCCTGGGCAAATACATAACCCTGTTTGCTTCAGTTTCCTCATCTGTAAAATGAGCTGGAGAAGAAAATTGCAAACCACTCCAGTATCTTTGCCAAGAAAACTCCACAAGGGGCCATGAAGAGTTGGACACGACAGAAAAACAACCAAAGGACAACAGATCTCTACAGGAAAAAGCAAGATGAACAGAATTCAAAGGTAGTTGGGGTGGAATCTTTAGAGGGGAGGGGGAGGGAATAGGTTAAAGGGGGGGGTATAGAAGGGTGTTGAGATTAATGAGAATGGGAAGATAAGGGAGGGATCCTGGGGAGGGAGGTAGGCTAAGTAATGGGAGGGCAAGGTAGAGGGTAGAAGTAAACTAGAGGAGTCAAGAGGGATAGGAAATAAGAGATACGGTCAAACATAAAAATAAAGATCAGATGTAGAATTTGCTAGGGAAAGTGTATGTCTATACGTATGTATATATGCATATATGTATGTATATGTCTACATATGTATATATCCGCACTTAATTGTGGCCTTCTGGATGGGGGAGGGAAGAACAAAGTAAAAAGCGCACAGTAGAGAACAAAAGAAAACTTACAAAGAAGCAAAGGTGAACAGCTCTCAACATGTGTAGTATTTATCATACAGGCTTTCTTGAAATGAAAATATATTGCTATATATTTTGAATCCTTTCATGTTCTGCTGTGCACATGACATGCTTTTTTTTCTTTTCTTACTTTGTATTTAAGTTTATGATATGTTTCTTTTTCTTTTCTCTATTCTGTATTTGAGTTCTGGTGTTTGAATCTAAAACTAAAAAAAATAATAAAAAATTTAAAAAGTTTCAATTAAAAAAAAAAGATAGCTGAGGAAATTTAAATACATTTTCACTTTTTTTCAGGAGTGGGGCCTGGAGAGGAATGAAGGCATGAATGTGGCTGGCTTGGGCACTTTACTTAAAATGGAGGTTGGGGGAAAGCAACCAATCAGAGGAAGGGGCCAAAGGGGCGGTGTGACCTTAGAGGGGGAGAAAGCTCCTCTCACGTGAAATAGAAAGTCTAGAATGCGAGGATCAAAGCCTGAAGAAGAATGAAGAATGTATGTTTATATGTATGTGTGTATGTATGTGTATGTATATATCTACATATGCAAATACATCTGCACTTAATTGTGGCCTTCTGGGGAAGGGGGTGGTAAGGGGGAAAAAAAGAACAGAGTAAAAAGTGCCCAGCAGAGAACAAAAGAAAACTTACAAGGAAGCAAAGAAAAGCTGAACAGCTCTCAACACATGGATGAACATGAGTGAACTCGACACTTCCCTTAAAATGGCATAAAGGTAGGACTGGCCCTGGAGTCAGGAGGACCTGAGTTCAAATCCAGCCTCAGACACATAACACTTACTAGCTGCGTGACCTTGGGCAAGTCACTTAACCCCATTGCCTAACCAAAAAAACAAAACAAAAAAAATTCTTTTTTTTAAAAATGGCATAAAGGAGAGGACGCCAGACTAGGAGCAAAGACCGAGCTCAAGGCCTGGTTCTCTCACTTGCCGGGTGTGTGGCCACGGGTGAACCACTTCATCTCTCTGAAACCATCCTGCTGACTTGATAGAATGATTGCAAGGAGAAGCAGTTACAGTGCATAGGAAAGTACTTTACAAACTGCACAGCGCTAAAGTACGGGATGATGACGATGATGATGATGATGATGAGCCCTGAGAAGAGAAGCATAACAAAACCTTAATTAATGAATTTGCTCATGGTTCGTTTCTCTGTGGCCTCAGATGCCAGGGTACGGGGTACAGCCCTGGTCCGCTTTCCTAAGACAGGCCTGATTTGATTCAGTCAAACACTGAAATCTCTTGCATTGCGCTTTCTTGTGGTCTGGCTAAAGAGCCAGGGCCCGTGGCCCGCTCAGAGTCGAGTACTCATCAAGGTGAAACACTGGAGAGATGAGTCATTTGAGTCAGAGAGGGAAACTGTCACTTGGGTAGTGGAAAATGTAACCCCCGTTGGTGCAGGGAGACAGCCAGAGCCTTCAAAAGACTATGACTGGGCTGGAGGGGCTGCTGCCTGTTTGGCATGTGCCCATTCAATTCGATTTAAGAAACATTTATTAAATGCTGTTGCATACAAGGCATAGTGCAAAACATAAAACAGTCCCTGCCCTCTCAGAACATTTGAATGTCATCTTCTTTACTCTCTCTACAGAATTTACATGTCAGAGGGTCAAAAGACAGAATAGAATAAAAGGGGGGTAGGATAGGATAAAGGGAAATATACTTAGTTTTTCACAACAGGACTACTATGGAAGTGTTTTGCATGACTACACATCTATAACCTGTATCAAGATGCTTGCCTTTTCAATGAGGGTGGGTGGGGAGGGAGGAAGGGAGAAAATTTGGAACCCAAAGTTTTAAAAACACATGTTAATAAAAAGAAAAAAGAATTTACATGTCAGAGCTGGGAGGGCTCTTAGAACCCAGGATGTTAAGGCTGCAAGGGCTTTTAGAACAGAGGATGTCAAAGTCAGGAAGGACCTTAGAATGTCAGATCTCTGAGAAATCTTAGAATGTAGAATGTTAGAGCTGGGAGAGCCCTTAGAATCCAGGATGTTAAGGCTGCAAGAGCTTTTAGAACAGAGGATGTCAAAGTTAGGAAGGACCTTAGAATGTCAGACCTCTGAGAAATCTTAGAATGTAGAATATTAGAGCTGGGAGGTCCCTTAGAACCCAGAATGTCAGAGCTGGAAGGGCCTTTAGAACAGAGGATATCAGAGCTGTGAGGGTCCCTAGAACTAGGATTTTAGATTAAGAGCTAAAAGGGACCTCAGAGTCCAACCCCCTCATTTTTCAGATGAGACATCTGAGGTCCCTAAAAGGTTAAGTGATTTGCCCAAGATCACGCAGGTAGTAAGATCAGGATTCAAACTTAGGTATCTTGACTCCAAATCCAAGACTCTTTCCACCATATAGAAGAGATGGAACATAGAATGCCAGAACTGGAGGAGACCTCAATATACAGAACTGAGCAAACTGCGGGAGTGTAGAACATATAACAGAAACAAGAAGGGAATTTGGAAATTAGTCTCATCAATTTTTTTTAAATTTTTAAGTCCTCTTCAAATCTTTTCTAGGTTTCTGTCAGTCTTTTCCAGATCCAACTGAGGCCCAGAGAGGTGTCTCCAGAAGTGCTGCAAATTTTTCTCCAGAAGTTAAAACTAATTTTAGTTCCTTTGAATGCAAAGACCAAACATAAGTCACTCAACCATTATGTGGTGGAAAGAGGGCTGGGTTTGGAGTCAGCATGATACAGTGAATAGAAAGCTGGCCTCCGGTCAGAGAGACCTGGGTTCACATCCTGCCTCTGACATTTGCTGCCTGTGTGACCCTGAGGAGGTCACCTTACCTCGGAGTGCCCCAGGCAACTGCAGTGCTCGTTTCAGGACTGTTGCTGAGTTTGCTGTTGCTTTGGTAGATAGAATTTCCTCACCAAGAGTTCCCTACCTACCCTGATGAAATCACAAATCCGGCTCCAAAAACAAAAAACAAACCAAACACACACACACACACACACACACACACAACATATTAACTGTGTAATGTTGGGTAAGTCACTTCCCTATCTGGACCTCAGTTTCGGTAGAATAAGGAAGTTGGATTAAATGACCTCTAAGGCTTCTTCTAACTCCAAATCCTATGATCTTGTGCAGGCTTTCAGAGGAGGATGGAGAAGTGCTAACAAAAAAAAAAAAAAATTTAAAAAGCCGCACATCACTGGAGAAGCAGAGACCTTTCAATTGGGAGCCACTCTGGGAGAGGTCAGCCACCCCCTGGCAGCTGAGCTCTCCCACATTTCATAGAGAGGGCCTTGGGTTCTTCCCTCCACCATCTCAGCAGGCTGGGATAAGCTCCCTTCTTTGTCTGGGGCTCTCCCCAAGGGTCTCCCTAGGGTGGTGAGAACACCTCTCACACTTACAGGACAGAAGGGTTATGATGAGAGAAGACCCCTGAGAAATCCCACCATGAAGATAAGTCAAATATTCTCACTGTCAGTGTCCCCCCAGCCCATCCAAATCAAAATCACAAATTGAAGATGGCTCCTTGAACAGGATAACATAACAATGCTTGTTTCTCTTGCAGAACAGACTCTTGTTAGCAGTTGACATGCCCATCCGTGCACCCTGACTTATGGCAACAAACCTGGGTCTCACGCTGAGCTTTCTTTCTGCATTAGGTCAAAGGGTTGAACCCACAAAACAGCCTCAAACTTGCAAGAGTAACACCTCAGCCAAGCCTTTGGTTTCTTGCAGCTCTGACAGCTAAACAAGTACAAGCATTAGTGCCAGTCCAGAAACGAAAACTACCCTCTGCAGAAATCATGCCCCATTACTCAGGAGGGCTGCCTTTCCGAACAGGCACCGTCAAAAAAAAAAAAAAACTGTCCCAAAGATGATCTTGGCAAGAGAATGTAATTTGTTGTTGGACTTAAGTTTTGACTTTGTTTGGTCTTATAATCATTTTACATATTTCTCTAAAAGAAAAAAATATCAGGCATATTTCTTCACCCGTACAATAAGCGTTAAGATCCCTTCTAATTCTGAACATTCTAGGGTTCTTCTCTCTCTCCCTGCCCCAACCCCAACTCTGACATTCTATGTTCTAAGGCCCCTCCTAGCTCTGACATTCCCTGTTTTAGCGGCCCTCCCAGCTCTGACAGCCTGTGTTCAAAGTGTTTTTCCAGCTCTGACGTGTTCTAAGGTCCCTCCCATCTCTGATACTGTATATACTGAGGTCCTTGCCATCTCTGACAGTCCATGTTCTAAGGTCCTTTTCAGCTCTGATATTCCACGTTCTTAAGGCTGCACTAGTTCTAATATACTTCGAATCTATGAAATGATGTAAGTTTTTAAAAACCACCACCAATTAAAAAGAAAAAAAAGGTACGTAAGACTCTGGGCATCCTTAGAAGGAGATATGAAAAACTCTTGTATTTCCCTCAAAACTAATTGTCTTTTGCAACTCACCAATTCCCTATTGGGAGGCAAGCTACAAGCTATTCATATTTATGCAGTTTGCTTTCAACAAATTTTGAGCCAAGCAGAGTGTTTTGACCTTGGGCATATCACATTAGAAAAGTGCACCACAAAGTTTGGTCGATGAGAAAACCTTCCTGTGTCTCTTTTTATCTTCTATCAGTAGTGGTGGAAAGCTCAATGCGGTTACAGTTCTCTCTACTGTTCATTTCTCAGAAAAGCTGATCACATTTAATCACTCTGTCAGTTGGCACAAACACCATGTTTGTAATGAAAAGCCAGCAAGGCTCTCACCTTATCAGTGCCTCCATCATGATCTACCTGTCGATACAGTCAGGGCTCTCTCTGGTCCATCAGTATTAAATTCAGCCAAGTCTTCATCTCCACTGCTCATTTACTATGGTTCATTTGTGAGGATTAGATGACCTACCTGTCCCTTACATAGCAAAGAGCCGTGATCTCACATGTGAGAGATCATAGGATCGGAGATTAAAGCTGGAAGGGACCAGTTCGTCCAAGCACCTTTTACAAATGAGAGAAGTGCAGGCCAAGGACTTACCTAAGATTATACAGATAGCAAACAGCAAAGGTAGGATTTGAATACAGGTCTTCTAATTCCAGAGCCAATGCTCTTTCCACTGTATTTGGCCATGTAGGCAGGTACCATGTTTTAGTTTTTGTTTGTTTGTTTTTTCCCTTTTACCTGGTCTCCCTCATTCCAGCCTTTTCCCATTCCAAGCTAGCCTTCCCACCAAGCTGCGGTAATATTCTTTTTTTTTTTTTTTTTTTCCTTTTTGGTGAGGCAATCGGGTTTAAGTGACTTGCCCCAAGGTCACGCAGCTAGTAAGTATCACGTGTCGGAGGCCAAATTTGAACTCAGGTCTTCCTGACTCCAAGGCTGGGGCTCTATCCACTGTGCCACCTGGCTGCCCCAGGGTAATATTCTTAATATCCTACTATAACTGGAAAATGAAAAAACAACTTTTCTTCACTCCCTCCATAATCTGACCTTAACCAACCTCTACGGTCTTTTCTCACATTTTTCTCCTTTTGCATACTCTATTTCTCAGTCAATTTGTCATTTCCAGATTTTGTCCTGCCCTTTTTAGAAGGTATGCTGCTGAGTTTGACTTAAATTAAAAAACAAAAAGTAAATATCTTATTAAAGGGATGACGTGAGTACTTAGAAAGGAAAGCAGTGATCACTAAGAAATGACAAGGCTTGATCAGCTCATGCTGACTGACTGGCTATAAGGGAAGACAATGGAAGTGAGAGTCAAAAGAGAACTCAGAATCTATCGCAATGTAATGAGTGGGGAGGGTCTTCATGTGGAAGAAGCTGGGGAACCTGCTTGATGATATATGATGGAAGTGCTCTCTGCTGTCCATTTTGGAGCTATATTTTATAGCTGGTTCTGGTCTGTTAACCACGAGATGAAGAGATAGATTACCGATTGGCTGTGTAGTCAGAACTGAGGTGAATTCCAAAGGCACTGGTCGGCCGGGGCTTTGCTCTTGGCCTCCTTCCTGAGAGGCTGCATTCTGGTAAGAGAGACAGTGATATCACAGAGGAGACCTTTCCCCTTCCCGTACCATATCCCGGTACAAAGCCAACTTGTGGGCCACAGGTATAGTTGTCTCTTCTCTTTATATTTGTTCTGTCCTGCTTTCAGGAGAAGATGGAAGATTGGAGATGTCATTGTTGTTCAGTCAATTCAATCATACTGTGACCTCATTTGGGGTTTTGTGGCAAAGAGTGGTTTTCCATTTCCTTCTCCAGCTCATTTTATAAGTGAGGAAACTGAGGCAAACAAGGTGAAATGACTTGCCCAAGGTCACACAACTAATAAGTGTCTGAGGTCAGATTTGAACTCGAGTCTTCCTGAGTCCAGGCCTGGCGCTCTATCCACTGTACCACCTAGCTGCCTGTAAGATTTGAAATGTCATCAGAAGTCTAGGAGTGGCGTTCATGCCAGAATTTACCATAAGCCAGACAATGAGGACAAAACCCCACATAACCTGCCCTGACCAGTCCAGCAGTAGCAGTAGTAGAGATGTAGACTCATTCATCCAACAGCCACGCCAAATTGGAAGGGAAGTAGAAGCTATGTATCAGCTGAATTAAGTTTGAGCCCACTTTCCCCAGGGACAGGAGTGGTTTGTGGGAAGGAAGATTGGAAGGGAAAGGAAGGGAAGGGGAGGGGAGGGAAGGAAGAAAGGAAGGAAATGAGATATTTACTAAGCACTTACTATGTACCACGCACAGTGCTAAGTGGTGAGAAAACAAATACAAGCAAAAAGACACTCCCTGTCCTCAAGGAACTTCCATTCTAATGGGGGAAGACCACACACAAAAGGAAGCCGAAAAGAGGAAGTGGTGGGAAGGATGAAGCTTCTACTTCTATCTCCAAATCCTGTGATCTTGTGCAGGTTTTCAGAAGAGGATGGAGAAGGGCTGAAAAAAAAAAATTTAAAAAGCTGCAGATCGCGTGGGGGCGTGTCTTTGGAGTCCAGAAGCCAGGAACAGGACAAGAAGGAGAATCAGGTCCAATCTGGGCCCCTCCACAAAATGGAGGCTCCAAGAAGAATTCACCAATGGAAGAAAGCAGCAGGCTTTAGAGAGGGATATTCCAGATTGAGAAGGTTTCACAGGTGGTTGGATGTTCCGGAGTGAGGAAGTTCCAGGTGCTGAAGCATATTCCAGGATGAGATAGAAGAAAGCGCATAGGTTTTGAAGACCAGAAGGCAAGGAATAGGGCCAGAAGGGGAGAGTTGTGCCTCCAGATGTCTGGGGGAAATATTTGTATTTCTTTCCTTATTATATCTTTGTAGTAAATATATTTTTGTTAAAGCTAATTGATGTTAACTAGTTAAATGGGGGGGGGGAAGAGGCATTAATTACTGGTGTCAAACCATGGGTGAGAGGTTGGGGGTGTTAAACATATCAGAATCAGGTTTTGATAGACATAAAGGATGATACCATAAGCAAATTAGGAGAGCATGGGATAGTTTACCTGTCAGATCTATGAGTAAGGGAAGAATTTAGGACCAAATAAGATATAGAGAACTTTATAAAATGAAAAATGGATAATTTTGATTAAATAAAATTTAAAAGTTTTTGCATAAATAAAAGCAATGCAACCAAAATTAAAAGGAAAGCAGAAAACTGAAGAAAACATTTTTACAGCAAGTATCTTTGATAAAGGCCTCATTGCTCAAATATATAGAGAACTGAGTCAAATTTATAAGAATACAAGTCATTCTCCAATTGATAAATGATCAAAGGATATGAACAGGCAGTTTTCAGACAAAGAAACAAGCTATCTATAGTCATATGCAAGAAATGCTCTAAATCACCATTGATTTAAAAAACTCAAAACAGCTCTGAAGTACCATCTCACACCTATCAGATTGACTAATATGACAGAAAGGG